AAAGCAGTTTCAGTAGAATGATAGAGACAGAAACCCATCTACAGTGGATTGAGGAGTATCTAGGAAGCACTGAGGGGCAGAGACTGAGTGTGGACTTATCCTTATTAAGAAAGAAGAGAGAAATGACTGTGACAGGGGTTATAGTATCTGAGGAAATGTGCTTGTATGTGTTAATGATTAGATAAATTCTATCATCAGAGGATTTATATATATATATTTCAATATATATATATTTAAAATATATTTTATTGATTTTTTATACAGAGAGAAAGGGAGAGAGATAGAGAGTTAGAAACATCAATGAGAGAGAGTCATCGATCAGCTGCCTCTTGCACACCCCCCTACTGGGGATATGCCCGCAACCAAGGTACATGCCCTTGACCGGAATGGAACCCAGGACCCTTCAGTCCCCAAGCCGACGCTCTATCCATTGAGCCAAACCGGTCCCAGCATCAGAGGATTTATAAATGAAGGAAGGAGCTCTAGGAAGGCAGTCCAGGATCAAAAGACAGGACTGAGGGAATGGGGTCCAGGGCTGTTTCATAATGGTTTGAGCGATGGCACCATCATCAGAATGAAAGCTTTGCTGCCAATGAAAGCTATGACTAAGTTGGATATTTGTGTTAAAAGTATTAATAATATCACTTTATAGTCATATCTTACACTGTGATTTATTTATCATTTGTGGAAATGGGCAACTGGTTTTCAGAGCCTTATAGGTTAATTATTTTTAAATGAGAAAATATGATTTGGCTGTTAAAATAGGAGGTTCTTTTGTTTGATGACTTGGATGGACAAATGATCAGATAAGAGCTAAATGAGGATGGTTATTTTTTAATATTTGTTGGATTAATTTCAATGTGAAATACAGAAACATCTTGATAATTTCCTGCCCTCACATCATGCATTACAATTCAAAGAGCAAAGTGCTAGTTGGCAATAGTTTCTTCAAAAGTCAATAATTCTTCAGCTACTCATTCAGTCGAGACAGTTACGGAGCATCTGCTATGACCCAGCACTGTGTTGGGCATTGCAGATATGGCTGCAAAGAAGGCATCTTTGGTTTTTGTTCTGATGCTGCTCACAGTAGGGGCTGCAAGAAAGCAAGCAGGTCTTTACAGTAGCATGATGAGTTCTAGAATGGGGGACATAGAGGGGCCTTAGGAGGATGCAGGAAAACTACCCAATGGACACTAGTTATGGAAGTGGCTGGAAGTGAAACGAATGGGTCAGGAAAGGCTTTTGTTTTTTGATGAAGTGATGGGCATATAAGCAAAGATCTGAAGAATGGTGGGATTTCTGCAGAAGAAAAGAAGCTGGGCTGGTGAGGAGGGGGTGTGGGGACAAGAAGAGGGCTCCTGGCAGGTGGGGGAAGCCTTAGCTTGGGAATGTGGGGAAGGCAGAATCATTCAATAGTTCTGACACTGTCAGTGCAGGAGGAAGAAGGAACAAATGTGTCAGGAGAGGAGCTGGAGGCCTACGGTCAAGGGTCCTATAAGGAGTTTGGGCCTTATCTTAGACTGACAGGACGCTAAGCAGGGAAGCACAGATAAATTAGATTTACATTTTACAAAGATTACTTTCTCTGGTTGGTGTGGAGGCAGGTTGAAATGGAACAAGAGTGGGGACAGAAAGACCAGGAGAGACATGCTGGAGGCCTGATCTAAGGCAGTGACCCTGGCAAGAGAGAGAGAAAAACATGTGACAGAAGAAAATAAAAGAATGGGGCTTATTGGTAAACTAGAGGCCCAATGTATGAAATTCATGAACAGATATGGTCCCTAAGCCTGGCTGGTGATCAGGGCTGATTGGGGCCTTCCAGCTGCTAGGCCAGGGCCTCTCTTCCTTCTGTGCCACCCCCTGGTGGTCAGTGCATGTCATAGTGAGCAATCAAACTCCTGGTCTCCCAGTAGAACTCCTGAGGGGACACTTTGCATATTAGCCATATATATATATATTAGTGGAGAGTGAAGAGGGCTGACACAGGGATTCCTGGCTAAGTGTCTGGCTGGTGTTGCCTCTCAACAATCAAGGGAATGAGCTAAGAGAAGCAATTTTGATGAGGAAGAACCCTCTCTTTCTGGGCTTTTCTATCTCAAAAAGGCAAGCCAAGGTCAGGTGACACACAGGTACTTTGGACCGCATTTTAACCCGTTGTTTGGACTCAATGGCCTCTGTGTGTGGACCCCTAAACATGCAGATGTTGCTTTCCGTGAGTTTCAAGCAAAGCAAAAGAAAAATATTTACCGGTGAAACTTCAGAAAAGCAAGCACACACTACCTTGAACTGTGGTGCCCACAAGATAAGTCATAATAAACACTCCACTTTTAATCTAACAGACTTTCCATTCTCCACCTTTGCACACACAGGCATCTGCACACGCAAATCAAAACCTTCTTAAGTCATGGAATAATTTTAAAAAATAACATAAAAGCAAACAAGAGTGCTTCCTGTGCGGTGAATGGAAATTTTTTGCCCATTTTATTTTGCAGGCACATGAAAAGTAGTTCTGAATATCTAAAACCGTAAGTAATTGTGTTTATAGTTGTGTAATTTTCTCCTCTTGAGATTGAAATGTCACACCTAAATTTTGTTAGAAAATCTCTTGCGTTCAAATATTTTGGAACTTCGTCTAGGACCTAAAGGTACCCTTCTTCCATCAAAATATGAAGCCAGAGGTTGGCTCGGTGGATAAAGCATCGGCTTTCAGACTGAAGGATCTCAGGTTCTATTCCAGTCAAGGACATGTACCTTGGTTGTGGGCACATCCCCAGTAGGGAGTGTGGGGTAGGCAGCTGATTGATGTTTCTTTCTCGTTGATGTTTCTAACTCTCTACCCATCTCCCTTCCTCTCTGTAAAAAGTAAATAAAATACATATATTTAAAAAAATATGAGGCAAAAAAAATCACATTATCAGTCATTTCTGGCTAGATAAATGAAGACTAACATGAGAGTATAGTGTGGTAAGTAAGAGTGTGGAATTCAGAGTTTCCTTATCTGGAATTGACATGTGTGGTTCAATCACCTATCAACTGTGTGATCCTAGGCAAGTTACTTAATATCAGTTTCCTCACCTTTGAAATGGGAATAATAATGGGATCTATCTTATAGCGGTAAGAACTAAATGAGATAATTGTGTGAGGCGCGATGTCTGACACATAGCATGTGCTCAGTAAATGTTCATTCCTCCCTGTCCACCTCATTTCCCCCAGCATCACTACAGCTGAACACAGCTTTTATCAAATAAAGTAAAAGCTCTCCACACTGTGCTTAGTTCCAGAGGTAGGCCACAAGAAGTTTAGAAAAAGTCAATTATTCTTCTGCCTGTGTTTTTGCTGGAAAAAGACTACAATGCAATGACAATGCCTCTGGAGGCATTTCCTCTTGATGCTGTCTGGGGTACAGTGGAAGGGAGAAGAAGAAATCAGGATAGCAGGTCCTAAAGGGTCCTGGGGGTCCAGTCTTTACTGTTCAGGCTAGCTCAATCTCTCCAAAAGCTTCTTTCACACCCACTACTGAGGCCTATGAGCCTTAAAAATGGTGCCTGGGAAAACAGCAGCAGCTGAGGGAAATCACTGCAGAATCAGCCCCCTACTTGCCCTTTGGAACCCCTTGGCTCTGGTCCAGCCTCCTAATTACTCTTCTGTAGTAATGAGGGCTAGAACCCCAAACCTGGCTTCTACTTTAAAGTCTGGACATTTCAGACTGACACCTTGGCTGCCCTGCCCAATGGATTCCAACTTTACCTGGATGTCACCTCTGCAGGCTAAGAGTTGGTTCTGCCCTGTCACTTCTCAGAAACCCAGCATGGTTTCAACCTCCGGAAGCTGGTCTAGCCCCCTGGATGGTATTCTCAGAAGCCTTGGCATTAGTGGTTAATGGTTCCACCTGCTTGTTTAAGACTGAGGACTCTGGAGCCAGTGGCTCATCACCTCCCAGCCCTGTTACTTACTAATCATACAGGGTAGGCCAGGTACTTGACAGTCTTGTGCCCCAGTTTTCCTTATCTGTAAAATGGGTGATTAGTAGTTCCAATTTCATAAGATGGTTACGAGGATTACATAGATTAATAGATGCATAAAGCATAATATAAATATACACAACTAATTCACTGAAATACTTGTGAGACAATGTAAAAAATATTAGCTATATTTATATTATATTTTATGCATGTTAAATATATTATATACAACTTTGTACTTAATTTTATACATGTTTTGTATTAACATGTATTCTTTCACAAAAAACATTTGTGCACATGCAAATCTTATTATTTATATTATTATTACTGTTGTTATTGGTTATTCTATCTCCTTACAAAGATAGATAAATCATGGGTAGGCTTTTCCATTTTCTTGCTTTCATCTGAGGTTATACATGTAGAGTCCTGGTTTCCATAGACTCCTTTATAACATGCAGAGCAGGGCATATGTTGGATTAAAACTGATTCCATCCTTTGGAAAATGGTCATTAACAATGAATGGCATGTAAATATTATTTCTCAGCTTACTATGTTACTCTTCTTTCAGATATCTCCATTTCCATTTCTGTAATATCATTTATTTCTTGTCTTATTTCAAAGGCTTTCCATCTCTCAGGCAAATGGAAGACAGAAATGTGCCAAAATATGTTATTCATCATGTGTCTGTTTTTAGATTCTGGTATCCCAATATCTATTTTTCAGAAAAGGAGGGTAGTTCTGAAAAGAATAGGCATTGTCTCTCTCACTCGTTTTACTGGAACCAGAGTGACGGTAGACTTTTCCTGTGTCCTCACAATCATTGACAATCCACGAGTTATGCTTACCCCCCTCGTAGCAATAATACCTCTTGTACAGCCACTGCCATCAATTAAAAGTCACATCCTTGCCTAGGGAAGTGGGTGGATGTGGGGTGGAGGGGTTATTGGACAAAAGGGGGGCATTTTAGTACTTTCAACAATAAAGAGCCATTTAAAAAAAGTCACATCCTTGCCTTGAGGGTAAGTGTGACACTGCATCAACCCCCACAAAGCCACTTCCTTTCCAGCAAGTAGAAAACATCTAGGAACATGAATTTTGCTGTTATTTTTTTCAGCTCTGTAGAAGAGGATTTCATCTGTTCTTGCCAAAGATGAAGTTGGACCTTTGGTATTTCTTTCTCTTCTACTTCCAAGTCGAAGTTCTAACAGGTAAGTGGTCTATTGAATATTTCTTAGGTTATAACTTTAATAAGTGACAGTAAGAAAAATCAAAGGTAGAAAATTTACCTATCAAACAGAAAAAAAATTTTTTTTGAAAGTAGTAACAATTGCAGAAGGGCCCATGTACATGGATGATTAAGGGTACTTATCACTCATATTACTGTTAATGGCATTGAGTTTGTACTGCTTCCTTTGATATTATGTTTTAAGATAAAGAAGAAGTTTTCATCAGTCCATTAAAGTTTTTAATTACCTGCTTGGAGTTACCTTTTAGTGGATAAAGTAGAAGAGTGGCCCACTATTCTCAGAGAAAGATGAAAGGCAGAATGACTTGTATCAATGGAATGAAAATGAAAAGTCCTGATATTGGGCTGGGAATTATTTCTGAAGGAGAAAATGAAATGGAAGGACTTTGAAAAAAAGGATTTTTGTTTTAATCTTATCTGGTTGGCCTATTATCAGAAATGCCTAGACCTCCACAGAGTTTTCTCAACAGCAAGTGTGAGAGACCCTCTAAAAGGCCAAGGAGTAGTTGATGATGTAAACACACACCCCAGTCCTTGTAGACATTAAAAAAGTAATAGTTCTGAAGTTCTCATTCTTCCTCTCAGGTGGCATATGTCAGACTATATTTAAACAATTTAAATAATACTATCTACAACTGAACTAATATATATGTTCCTACTGCTTCTTACTCTATACGTTTTATTTAGTATTACATTTATTTTATCTTTAACTCTGAGCCATGTGTCTGAGGCTGGGAAAAGAAAAGTGAAATTATATTAAGTTGGGAAATTCTATTAATACTAAAAGTGAAATCACCTCTTTTAGTAGGTATAACCTCATCTAGAAATAATAAATTGTTTTAGTGGTACAAAGAAATAGACTAATTAAAACACACACATGCACACACTCACACACACAAAAACACCACACACTCAAAAGTAAATTCGTCAAAATGTTTGACTCTCAGTGGCTCAAGGTGGCTGGAATGCTCTTGTAAAGAAGAACGAGGAATGAGGAAATAGGATCTACTTATAAATCCCAAGGGCAGTTTGCGACAACTTGTTTATCTAGTAACTATGGTTTTTCTACAACCCAGTGGAATCATTTAGTGACATAAACAACAAACAAATAGCTTTGGAATTAAATGTATTTATTCATTCACTCACTTATTCATATTGCACCAAGCACTTGCTATTCAGGAGGTACTATGCTAGCTGCTGTACATACAATGATGAGCAAAACTAGGTCAGCTCCTGCTCTCATGAAGCTAAATAAATGGTTGGGAGAAAGGGACTAATCATATAATCCCATTAACTAGTGATAATTACAGGTAGAACTCAGTTCTATCAAAGAATATAATAAAGAAGCCCATCTATCAATAGACAGGGTGGGTGTAGAGGTGGTATTGGAGAGCATGGTTCATTGACGCCTTTTGTGTGAAGTGGTACTTAAACTGATATGTGAAGGACAAGTAGGAGTAAATGGGGAGAATGGTGTGAGGGTTGGGAGGAACATTCCGTACCAAGAGGAGAGTAAGTGCTACGGACCAATGGCAGGAGGGAATAAGGTAAGGCCATGGAACCGGAAGAAGGCAATGTGCCTGAGTACAGAGAAGGGAGGCGTGGGGGGTGATGCAAGATGAGGTTGGGAAGGGAAGCAGAATCCCAACATGGCTGTCTATAGAAAGAACTACCTCACACATTTTAGGTCTATGAAATTTTGCAAGACCTTTCCTACACTGAACACTAAAAACAAATAAATAAAAGACAGAAACAAATTTTAAAAAATTTAAAGCCAAATAGGGAAATAAGTCAAAAGTGTTTTTGTCCTTAGGCAAGGCTGTGGGAGTCTTGAAATAACTTGTTACTTTTTGACAAAATATTTTTTCTGACTTTTTTCTGTTGGAACACTAAATTCTTTTGTGCATATGTGCATATAATACAAATAGAAGGCTTCTACCTCCTGGAGTTACCTTCATATGCTGCTGCTGATTTTTTTTTTTTTTAGTTCAATGTGGAGCCTCAAAACTTGAATGTCTCTTCTAGTTTTTATATCAAAAATAAAAAGAGTGGGGGGCAATGGAAAGATATGTACACATATAATACCTTAATAAAAATAATAAAAAAAATTATAAAAAATTAAAAAATTAAATAAAAAAAAGAGGAAGACAGACTCAAGAGTTTTGATTCTGTCAACCACCAGTTCTGATAGAATCTTTTGTTTGAGCCAATTTGACATAGACGTGGGACTTTCAATAATCCATTAAAGAGCGTTTAAATGTAACTTTTTTGAATTTAGCAGACAAGTTTATAGTCTCCTTGGGCTCAGCACCAAAAAAGTCCATCCATGACTCAACTATGCCACTATCACCAATATCTCTATTGCCCTCATGATTAAAACTCTTTTCATTTTGTACTATATAGGTCAAAGCAAAAATCTCATAGTAGTATCTGTTTGCACTTATTTAAATATGATGAGAGTTTCTTGTATATGTGAATTCATATTTTTACATTTTTACAGGCAGGTGACAGAATAATCATTATGAATTTAAACCCTGTTAGAGCAAAGATCCAGACGTCTTTGCAGGATCAATGTGTTAAGCATATATAATTTCATATCTAAGAAATTACAATCACAACATACATGTGACACCAATGTGACTACTTTAAGTGTTTGGGACAATTATATACCCAATATATCCTGAAGGAAAATAAATATCTGAAAATACCTTCTAAATCTAGCCTAAAGCACTAAGTCAGTGGTCAGCAAACTCATTAGTCAACAGAGCCAAATATCAACAGTACAACCATTGAAATTTCTTTTGAGAGCCGAAAACCAACTTTTGCGCATGGGCCACGAAGTTGCAATTACACTGTATGGGCGCGCCCGCACGTGTTATTTTGTGGAAGAGCCACACTCAAGGGGCTAAAGAGCTGCATGTGGTTCGAGAGTCGCGGTTTGCCGACCACTGCACTAAGTGACTCTTTAAGAGTGTGGACTCTGGCTTCCTATTATTTAGTCCAAATTATGGCTTTACCATATATTGGCTCTATAACCGTGGGCCAATTATTTAAAACCACAGTTTCTTCATCTGTAAAACAAGGATAAAAATAGACAATTTGACTGAAAAGGCTGTTATGAACAACAAATACGTGCAATACATTTAACACAGTACTCGTTATATAAGAAGCACTCCATGCTTGTAAGTTATTGCTGTTATTTTTGGAAGCTTTTGAAAGCTTAGATATTTATATAACTTCTAGACCTACTGAGCCTCAGAGGATTGGTTTGGAATCATTCAGCACTGAAACCAGAAAGGCCTGTGTTAGTGCTACCTGTCACTAACAGAACCAATAAGTAGCGACAAGGCTTGAATCTTTATGATATTTTATTCAGGTGGACAGAGATCTGAGAAGATGGTGTGTTATACACCCTAAATTCTGTCTCCCAGCTCATCTCAAGCTGACCCTTTTTATGAGAAGAAAAGAGTAGGTAAAGTGTTTGGGATTCAGGAAAACAATTGGTAAGGGGTTTGGGATTCAGGGAAAATGGTTACTCAGATGAGAGCTGCAATCTGGTGGTTTTCCCAGCATCCCTTCCTCTGATGACTGGTAATTCTTCATCTGTGTCCTGGGGGGGGGGGGGGGGGGCAGATGTCCTCTCCCTGGAGCACATGACTCAGATATCGTCTTGGTCCCTCTTGGTCCCTTGCAGTCCTCCTGGGGCACAGAGGTCGAATTGCTGGCAGGCCTCCTAAAGTCAGGTCAGGTCCAGTCATACATTCCAGTCCCTGGAACAATAGCTTTCTACATGCATTGATTACCAGGCCCAGTAACTATATAACAAGCTCAGATTTTTAAAATCTTGAGTTTCCCATCATTATGAGTCTTTGTCTTTGGACTGGGAAACCAGTGTCCTCTGATGGTAAATAGGTTCTCTTGCTCTGCCTTTCTTGCTCTGCTCAGCCTGTTGCAGGACAGTTGCCACCATGCTTATCCTCTATATTTTTCTATATATTTATTCATTTAATATTATTGAGCTTCTAATATGTTCCAGGTCCTGGCATTATTTTGGGGACCATGATGCAGTCCTTATTCTTTTATTAAAAATATATTTTCATTGATTTCAGAGAAGAAGGGAGAGGGAGAGAGAAAGATAGAAGCATCCATGATTGAGGTTTTCCTCCTGTACGCCCCCTACTGGGGATCAAGCAAGCCTGAATTCCCTGACAGGGAATCAAATAGTGACCTCCTGGTTCATAGATTGACCCTCAACCACTGAGCCACACTGGCAGGGCAGCAGTTCTTATTCTTGTGAAGCTCATGGTTAAATGAGAAAGATAGGCAAAAATAATTATGCTCTAAACATATATGAATTACAAATATACTGGTGTAAACAAAACACTATTGAGAGAATAGAAATAGGAGGGTTTTTTGTTTTTGTTTTTGTTTTTTGTGGGGGAAGGGACAAATTCAAAATGATTCTTAAAGAATGAATGAGGGTTTCTCTAGGCAGATAAAGGGGTAATAGGATATATCCTAGTCTATGGAAATGGAAGTAACAATGTAAAAAGAATGGCCAACATTTTTGGTATGGCTTACATATACTGTCTGAGCTGGTCAAAGAATTTTGTGTCATGGCAAAAATTTTTGACTATTTTTACGTCGTAAGCAACAATGCAATAGGACCTTTTAAGCTGGGGAGTGAAATGCTTTTTGAAAATACAATTTTGGGAGCAACCTGGAGAAGAGACTCAAGAGGAGAGAGACTGCTATTGAGAAAGACAGTTAAGAAAATGCTTTCACAGACGAGGGAAGACATTGAAAGACCTGGATTGGCAATGGGAGGGGAGGTAAACCATGGGATTCAAAAGACATCCTTGAGCTGTGGTGACCAATTGGATTAGGAGAGTCAGAGGGGGAGGAATAGGACGACTCTGAGTTTCTGAGAGTTGGACAAGTGACTCCCTCAAAGCATGAGGT